CAGCGTAACGGGCTGGACCACCTCGCGCGCGGCATCTCGGACCCCAGAGTTGCGACGATGTCTCGGGCGAAACGTGGTGCGAGGAAGTCTCAGGCAAAACGGGCCGGACCACCTCGAGCGCGGCGTCTCAGAGCTCCGAGTTGCGGGGACCTCCTGGTGCCTCCTGGGACCTCCTGGTGACCTCCTGGGGCTACCTCCTGGGCCTCCTGTGGCCTCCTGGACCCCACCTGGAACTTCCTGAAGCCTCTTGGGGCTCCCAGGGAGGATATCAAACCTGTGGCCGTTTGGGCCTCTCCAAATGGAGGGGAGGGGGGGGGGGCACAAGAGCAGGAAAAATCAACGAATCGACACCGGATGTGTATTAACTTGACACGTTCTGATAGGCGGGCCTCCTGGGAGCCTCCTGGGAATCTCCTGGAGACCCCTGGGGCCTGTCCTGGGCGTCCTGCGGCCTCCTGGTGCCTCCTGGGGCCTCCTGGGGACCTCCTGGAGCTTCCTCCTGGGCCTCCTGTGGCCTCCTGAACTCCACCTGAGGTTTCCTGAAGGCTCTTGGGGCTCCCAGGGGGGATATCTAACCTGTAGCCGCTTGGGCCTCTCAAAATGAGGGGGGGGCACAAGAGCAGGAAAAATCAACGAATCGTCACCGGATGTGTATTAACGTTCTGATAGAGCGCCTCCTGGGGCTTCGTGGGAGCCTCCTGGGAATCTCCTGGGGCCCCTGGGGCCTCTCCTGGGCGTCCTTCGGCCTCCTGGACCTCTCTGGGGCCTCCTGAGGCTCGCAGGGTCCCAGGGAGGATCTGTCACATGTGGTCTTCTGGGCGCCCAGGCTGGACCACCTCTCGCGCAGCATCTGAGAGCTCAGAGTTGCGAGAATGTCTTGGGGAAACGGGCCGGACCACCTTGCGCACGGCATCTCAGAGCTCACAGTTGCAAGGATGTCTCAGGCGAGCAAGCTAGACCACCTCGCGCAGGGCATCTCAGAGCTCAGAATTTCGAGGATGTCTCAGGCGAAACGTACCGGACAACCTCTCGCGCGGCATCTCCGAAGTCAGAGTTTCGAGGATGTCTCAAGCGAAACGGGCCGGACCACCTCGCGCAAGGCATCTGAGAGCTCAGAGTTTCGAGGATGTCTCATGCGAAACGGCCCGGACCACTTCTCGCACGGCACCTCGGGGCTCAGAGTTTCGAGGATGTCTCAAGCGAAACGGTCCGGACCACCTCTCGCGCGGCGTCCCGGAGCGCAACTTTTAGAGGATGTCTCAGGCGAAACTGACCGGACCACCTCTCGCGCGGCGTCCCGGAGCGCAACTTTTCGAGGATGTCTCAGGCGAAACGGCCCGGACCACCTCTCGCACGGCACCTCGGGGCTCAGAGTTTCGAGGATGTCTCAAGCGAAACGGTCCGGACCACCTCTCGCGTGGCGTCCCGGAACGCAACTTTTTGAGGATATCTCAAGCGAAACGGCCCGGACCACCTCTCGCGCGGCGTCCCGGAGCGCAACTTTTCGAGGATGTTTCAGGCGAAACGGCCAATCCCGGCCAACTCAGAAACGAGAGTTGTGAGGATGTCTCAAGCGAAACGGCCCGGACCATCAAATTTTTGTGAGGATGTCTCTGCTCCGACTTCCCTCGGCCGGAATTAGCTTCTAATTATCACAACAGCACCCCGTTCAGCAAGCTGTTTGGGGAAAAAAATCCCCCCCCCAAAGGGGGTGTGATCTAAGACAAAAAAGCCGGGTATAGAGAGTGTGGGGAACTCGTTTTGAATGACACGCGGACAAATAAGAGCGAACAACCTTAGAATGATTGTTGTTGTTGCTGTTTGTTGTCGTCGTCCCCCCCGCGACCCACCCGCGACCCACCCCGCGACCCACCCAGCGACCCACCCCGCGACCCACCCCGCGACCCACCCCGCGACCCACCCGCGACCCAACCCGCGACCCAACCGCGACCCACCCCGCGACCCACCCGCGACCCACCCGCGACCCACCCGCGGCCAACCCCGCAACCCAACCCGCGACCCACCCCCCGACCCACCCGCGACCCAACCCGCGACCCACCCGCGACCCACTCGCGACCCACCCGCGACCCACCCCGCGACCCACCCGCGACTGATCCATATTGGTTTGAAGAAAAAATCGGCGCCTGCGGCGGGCTCGTTGTATAATTAGTGGAACTTTGGCGCCTGCGGCGGGCTTCTCCAGAGTATCGCAGACTGCCAGCGTTCCCACCGCCCCCTCACTCTTATCCGCATCTGCGGGGTGCTACGTAGCCTTATAGCCCTGTAACCCTATAGCCGTATAGCCCTATAGCCGTAGCCCCCATAGCCTTATAACCCTATCGCCCTATAGCCCAATCGTCCTATAGCCCTATAGCCCTATATCCTTATAGCCTTATAGCCCTGTAGCCCTATAGCCCCATAGCTCTATATGCCTACAACCCTATAGCCCAATAGCCCTCTAGACCTATAGCCCCATAACCCGATACACATTATGATTGAGTTTTTCTCCGGTATCATATAGGAAACAATTGAACGCCCCTTCCTTCTGATCCGTTTCCTCCTCCGCCTGTTTTCTTCCTTCTCCCTCCCCCCCTCGTCTAATCCCTCCGCGCCCTTCTCCTTCTCATTCCTCCTCTTCTATCCTTTTCCTTCCCCCCTCCTTCGGAAGGCACGCGACGGCATTCTGTGACACACTCGGGAGTCAACAGCAAGCGCTGCGTTGACAAAACAAACAAGGAGCCAACGTGGCCGTCGCATACTTGTCGACGGAGGCGGGGAAAGAGAATGAGGAAGGCGAACACTGACGAGAAAGCAGAAGGAAACAGGGATGCTGGAGAACGCCTTTATGGTCAAGTCGGGCATGCTCCCCTACAAGCAGACTTTTGACGACAAAGAAATCCATGCGGGAGAAATGCTCAAACATTGTCAACAATAGTCGAAACATCGTCCCCAGACTATTTTTGAGTAGTTTGGAATACTCCCCCCTGTAGGGGGACATGCCCGACTCAACTTGTATGGCTTTGTCGCACCCTTCCGCTCTCACGAACGACTGATGGGGCCACACGTGGAAGGCCTTCGCGGCGCCCTCTTGCGGCACGTCTCTCAGCTTACTGGTGAAGGTACGAACGGAGGAGGAGGAGGAGGAGGAGGAGGAGGAGGAGGAGCAGGAGGAGGAGGAAGAGGAGGAGGAGGAGGAGGAGGAGGACTGTGCGAATGAAATGGGCGGCCGTCCGCCCTGTTCTGCTACTATACGTCGTCACGCTTCCCCGACCAATGCAACTCGCCTGCACTTCGCCGTTGGATGGGCTGGTGGGGGTATGCGAAGCGTGAACCATTGCGCAACGCCTGGCTTTCTTTGTCTATTCGTGCTGTCGTGGGCGCATGATCCGCTCTTGCGAGGGCGGCGCTGCCAATGGGATCTTCCCACGCTCCCCGCGCTTGCGCACCCCCGCCCTGCCAAGAGCAGGAATGATGTTATGGTAGGGCCGGGCGGATGGCAATGGGGGGTGACGTGACAGGGGGGTGGGGCCCGCTAGGGCCCCTGCTGGCTCTAAAAGGGGCCCTAAAGCCCCTTTAGGGCCCTCTTCACCCCCCACTTAGGTCCCCCCCCACCCAATGCCACCCGCCCGATAGCTTGCGCCACATAGCTGGCACCGCGTAGGTTGCACTCCACATGTTGCCCCGTACACGCTGCACCTTACGGCTTGCACTCCATAGCTTGCACCACTTAGACTGCATCCCATCTATTGCACCATGTAGTGGGCACGTCGAATGCAAGAATCTGCCACTTGGGTGCCGACGGAGGGTGCCTTACCACGATGCATTCTTCTTGACATTGCTGGCTCTTGGCCTCTTATCAAGGCATCCCGTGCCCCCCCCCCCCACCCCACCCCTTCTGTGCCAGGGGAACTGCCAGGGGAAGCACTAGGGATGTGCCAAGGGAGATGTCAGGCGACGTGCCAGGTGGCGTTTCAGGGCTTGTGTCTGGGGACGTGCCATCCAGGGGGCGCAAAAGGGTATGTGCCAAGAAACGCGCCGAAGGATATGTCAGGGCACGTGCCGGGGGACGCGCCTAGGGATGGGTCGCCATTTCTGTTATGGCCCAATACAGCGCCTTGCTTAAATACTGCTCCTGCGCAGCGTCAGTTTGGCCGGGGAGGAGGATGAGAAGGATGAGGAGGAGGAGGAAGACAGGGCAGATAATGAGGACGAGGATGATGATGACGACGATGATGATGATGCTGATGATGCTGATGCTGATGATGAGGATGAGGAGGATGATGATGATGATGATGACGATGATGAGGAGGGGGAGGAAGCGGAGGAGGCGGAGGAGGAGGAGGAGAAGGAGGAAGCGGAGGAGGAGGAAGAGGAGGAGGAGGAGGAGCACTGGGGGTACATGCGAGGGGCCGAGATGCCTCCCCGTTTGCGCATCTTGGCCAGCTCTGGAAGGGCGGGCCTGTGACGCTGGCCCCTGCCCTCCTCTCTTTGCAGCGCTCGCCTGTAGGACCTTGCGCTCCGTGGGAGGTTGTATATATATATATATATATATATGCATATGTATATATATATGTGTGTGTGCAGACGCATCTGTGCCTATGCTTCTTTACATATATGGATATACATGTATCTTATCGCAGGATTAAGCACATGAGTCATCGGGGATAGCCGCATGGCTATACATACGTTATGTATCTATGTGTACATATCTAGACATACAGGAAGAGAGAGAGAGAGAGAGAGAACGTGAGAGAGAGAGAGAGAGAACGAGAGAGAGAGAGAACGAAAGAGAGAGAGAGAGAGAGACAGAAAGAGATAGGGAGAGGGAGAGGGAGAGGGATAGAGAGAGAGAGAAAAACAAAGAGAGAAAGAGAGAGAGAGAGAGAGAGAGCGAGAGCGCGCACAAACATCCAAACAGTCGTTCCACGCTGGAGGAATCCATGCGAAGGAGGTCGTGCTACTGCTCCACCTGTCTGACAAGAAAATGCGGCCACGCGCGCCTGGAGGCGCTCGACCATCTGATTGAGCTCATCGATCTTGGCCATCGCCTCGTTCCGCTCCTGGGGGCTAGCTCGGCATCCGGGGGTCTCTACACCATCTGCCCAAACCTCGAACGCGATGCTATTCTTCGATCCTGGCATTTCTTCCTCGACTTCGGCCTGCAGGGGCCGCTTCCAGGTCCTGGGGCTGTCAAGCATTGATCCGGGAGGAGAAACTGCCCCGGGGAAGGGATTGAGCCTGCTTGTGCACGCGGACTGAAGAAAACGCATCGTCGGGTGTCTGGGTAGCCTCGAAGCTTGGTGCCCACGGCGCAACTGTCAACTTTGTGCCATTGCGACGCCCCCTGGAGAAATGACGACTCCCCAGACATCTGACGACTCCCAAGACGCCGATGGTCTTTGGGCAGGCACAGGCGACACCTAAACCGATGATGGAAAGCAAACTTTGTCAGACTTCGGCCGAAGACACACACGTAGTATAAACCACACGTTCGCCAGCGTGGACCGCAACCAGGGGCTTTCTGTATTGTGGGTATGGAAGCTATATCGTTCAAGCTACGTGGTGCCAGCTATGCGGTGTAAGCTATGTTGTGCAAACTCTGTGTTGCAAGCTGTGTATTGCAAGCTATATGGTGCAATCTACGCGGTGCAAGCCATGTGGTGTAGGCTGTGTTGTGCAAGCTGTGTGGTGCAAGCTCGGTCGTGCCAGCCACCTGAGGCAAGCTATGTTGCGGAAGCTATGTAGTGCGATCTACGCAGTGCAAGCAGCGTGGTGTAGGCTGTGTTGTGCAAGCTGTGTGGTGCAAGCTCGGTCGTGCCAGCCACCTGGGGCAAGCTATGTTGCGGAAGCTATGTAGTGCAATCTACGCGGTGCAAGCTGTGTGGTGTAAGTCTTGTGGTTCAAGCCATGTGCTTTCAGCTATGTGGTGGAAGCTATGTGGCGGACGCTATGTGGTGGAAGCTATGAAGACTGAGCTAGGTGGCGCACTAGATGTGGTGCAACCTATGAATCGCAAGCTATGTGGCTTAACACATGTGTTGTAAGCTACGTGGCGCACGCTGTGTGGTGGAAGCAAAGAGGGGTGAGCCATGTGGTGTAAGACATGTGGTAGAAGCTATGGGGCACAAGCCAGATGGTGTAAGCTATGTGGGGCAAGCTATGTCGTGGTGTCGCCGCGGCGGCCCCGGCGTGTCGCTGTGCTCCGTTGGGCGGGATGCTCCGAAAAGGCTCGAGGCACTGACGCTCGGGGACTGAGCCGTGGATAGCGTGTCGCATCGACGCGTGGTGGGCCAAAACGGGCGGCTCGACACGCAATGCCAAAATTCCTGACCGGTTGTGGTGTACATTCCAGCTCAGAATGAAGACAAGTTTGCGCTAACAAACCGACTTCAAGCGTTTTCTTAAACAGTTGTCCAGGTCCGTATGTACGAACGTCCACGAAGCAAAGAAGCTCCAATGAACCGCCCAGGGTCCAGCCTAGACTCTGGATTTTCTTGCTCGAAATTTTGAGCCCACGAGAATTTACGCTTGTTCTCAAAATGTCTGATGGGTGTCGACAGTGTGGCGTTGGGCCCACACGGCGCCCACGGGCGGGCACCAGGCGAAAACCCGAGGAGCCCTCCCAACACGAAGCTGCCCCCAAGGCGCCCACGGGAGGGTACGGGCGGGCACTGGGCGAAGACCCGGAACACCCATCCAATTACCGGCCGAAGGAGACAAGATATGGTCCCAAAGTGTAAGCACTGTTTGGGGAGTGCTCTGCAACGTTTACGAGCCAGTCGAGAATCATTCGAGGCCCCAAACAATGGAAACGCACAGTCGATGTTATGTTATCGAATCGCTTCGCTCATTCCGCCGGCCCATAGTTGCGTGCCGTTGTCGACTGACCGAGTGGTCTTTCGCGGTGCGGAGCTGCAGGGGCGGCGGCTGTTTTTATCAGGCTTTGCGTTCGGCATGTGAGGTTTCTTGGTGGCCGCTGGGGTAGTCTTGAACGCGTCGCGGGCCGTCTGGAAGCGTTCTGCCTATGGGGACTCTTTCGGGAGGCCTCTTGGTGGCCTCGTGGGGACTCTTAAACGCCTCGGGTCGTTGGCACTTGCTTGCGTGCTCGGGGGAGCATTTGGGGGGCCTCCTGGGGCCGCTTGGGGGCGTCTTGGAGGCCTCCTGAGGGCCTGTTGGGGGCCTCTTGGGGCCTCTTAGGGGCCTCTTGGGGATGCCTGGGGCTTCTTAGGGCCGAGGGCTCGAAATGTTGTTTCGGGTTCCCCCCTGGGACCTCTCTTGGGGCGTTCTTGGGGCTGTCTTGGAGGCCTTTTTGGGGCCGTCTTGGAGCCCTCTTGTGCCGTCTTGGGGCCCTCTAGGGGTCTCTTGTGCCTCTTGGGGCGTTTTTTTGTTTGTTGTTTTGTTTGTTTGCTTCTTGTTGTTTTTGTTTGTTCTTTCCTATTTGCTCTATAATTTCTCAACTGGCACCACATAAATTCGGAAGACTCCCTAAGTTGCAGTTCGCTGCGGCCATGGTGTCCGATGCTCCGCCTCAGCTGCCAAGAGCGAGGTGGGCGAACATTTGTATCGCAATCTGCAGCGTGTCGCGTGCGAGCTCTGCCGCCCAACGCCTCTCTTGGGTGCTGAACGAAGTAACATATCCCCGGCAGTGTCACAGACCGCCCGATTATACTGCGAGCTCATGTGGCTCAATCCACATGCGTGCAAACAGAGGCACAACTTGTGTGCAGGCCTCCGCAAGTCGTCCGTAGTAGCGACGCCAGGTCATTGCCGTGGTCGCGCCACTGCGTGGTCAGCATGGACAAGCCCTGGGGTAATTATCCCAGGAACTACCTTGAGAAGGTAACGCCGAGGCCTGTTAACCCCTGAGTCCGTTTCGTGACAAACACCCCCAGAGCAGCAGGGTGCGCCGGGCCCTAGGGTGCGTTCCTTCTGCCCTCTTGGGGCGGTCTTCGGGGCCTCTTGGGCCGTCTTGGGGTGTGGGGAAGCCGAAAAGATGGAAACGCCCAAACCTCTCCAACACCTAATGAAAAACACTACATTTTGCCTCTTGGGGCCCTCCTCAGGCCGCTTGGGGGCCTCTCAGGGCCTCCTGAGGGCCTGTTGGGGGCGTCTTGGGATCTCTTAGAGGCCTCTTGGGGACTCCTGGGGCCCTCTTAGGGCCGAGAGCTCGAAATCTTGATTCGTGTTCCCCCCCTGGGACCTCTCTTGGGGCGTTCTTGGGGCCTTCTGGAGCCGTCTTGGAGCTGAGGGCCTCTTGGGCCCTCGTGGGCCGTCTTGGGGCCCTCTTGGGGGCCTCTTGGCCCTCTTGGGGCGGTCTTGGGGGCCTCTTGGGCCATCTTGGGGGCCGGGAAGCCGAAAAGGTAGAAACGCCAACATCTCTCAGCCAACCTAGGGGAAAGCTATGAATTTTGCCTCTCGGGGCCCTCTTGAGAGTACCCTGGGAGGCGTACTGGGCCGTCTGGGAGGGCATCTTGTGCGTCTTGGGGCGATCTTGCGGCATCTTGGAGCTCTCTTGTATCATCTTGTGGGGCTCTTAGCGGCCTTTTTTCGTTTAGGGCTCTCCGGACGGCCTCGAAGGCGGCGCCCAGGAAGAAGACCCTCTCTGACCCGCAGCGCCTGGGCTTCGTTGGGTACTTTTTTTCCGGGGACCCCCAGGGGGCCGCCCCGCGCGCGCCAAGTAGAGTTACTGTAAGGCAGTTCGCGGAGATCTGAGCACGCCTCTGGCCCGTTAGGCTGGCGAATTTCTGAGTCTAGAGAGCCAGTCCGGGGGTATGTGTGAAGAACGTCTAAGGCGAACCGCTTGACTTTGAAGCAAGGATGTCGATCAACAGTGTGTGCTCTAATGAAGTTGCCTCAGAGGCCGTTGTCTTGTCTCCAAGCGCGGTAGATCCCAAACGCGAGACATCACAGAACATCCTGGCGATGCGACTTGGCTTTAGAGTCGGACAACAATCGACTGCGGCGGTACAACTGCTTCGGCACGGTCAGCCGCACGAGTCGGCGTCGTACTTGTCGCGAAAAGCCTTCTTGACTCTGTACGCAGACGCCGTCAAAGCTGATCAGCCTGACCAGCACGACGCACCTACGGCGAATCAGGAGACTCCCCCCTGATCGCCCACAGCACGAGGCAATCCTTGCGATCGGACCAGCCTAACGGCGGCCGATCAGTGCGCTACTTCCGTGCACACTACATTTGCTTCATGCAGGCAGGACCGCCAGCTGCTACATACCCACTCCTATCTCTACAGTATCCTTTAGCCGACACGTGCGCTCTCACCGTAAAGACGGAAGCAGCACAGCTGGTGATGTGGGAGTCTACCTTCTCTTGGCAACCTACAGCGTGAACAACAGTGGCGACTACGATCAGCGTGGGTCCCCACCCACTCGAGCTCGGATCATTTTCACAAGAAGCCCGTGGGTCCCGGAGGGGCTTTCTCACCCACGGAGTAAGAGGGCCGAACCAACCTCGAACATCCACTCCCTACTGGCCCACCTTCTTGCAGCCCTCACTTCCCCCCACGGCTTCCATCTAATCTTCACCTTCCCCTCTCTTGTGGTGGGATATGGGCTGGGTTTGTATGTGGGTGGGAGGGGGCTCGGACTCACCGCGGGCCGTCCTGGCAAGGGCCAGGGCGGCCGCGGCCGCAACTAGCCACTAGGGCAGCGGCCATCAGGGCACCGACCCAACCTTCTTTCAACATCTGCCGCCATGTCTCTACCCCGACTGTTTCGTCAGATTCCCACCTCCAGCTCAAACCTCCACGGTCAGCTCCCAGCAGCTGCGGTCCCTGACCGCCTGCTACGCTATGGGACGGGGTGCAGATACACGCTTGGTGTGGGAAGGATCAACAAACCACGCACCCGCGCCACCGCCACAAATGGCAGAAACCACCCCCACGCGGTGGACCCCCCCCAAGCAGCTACCACTCCCGTGATCTGGGTACCCTACTCCTGCCTCGGCGGGTGGGGGGGTAGGGTGGCTGCTTAGGGGGCCTTCCAATGTGCAGGGGGTGAGGCCTTTCTGCCATCTACCCTGGCGAGAGTGGCTGGCGCTGCCTCGCGCCTCCACTGGGGGAGGGCCCACACCTTCCTCACGCTCGGTGGAACCCCACAAGGCGGCCAAGAGGCCGACGTGCTGGGAACCCTTCGCCTACCCCGCCATCGGTCTCTGGGACGCCTGTGGGGGTTTCCTACGGGCAGAGTACCCTTCCCCGCTGCGAGCGGCACCCCACAGAGGGCCTCGCGCTCCTACGGCCTCCCACTTTTAACAGCCTGCCTCAGCACCTCCACTGGCCTCACACCTTTTTCTCAGCACATCCTCTTGTCTACCACTTATGCTTTTCCCACTTTCTTTTGTAGCTCTCACTCTGCCGCCGAGCGTTTCTCGCCTCTTAGCCGCCACCTGCTTGTCCTCTGCCATAGGAGGCACCCCTACGGGGGGGGACCCTGGGCACCCTCTCAAGGGCTGTGGCCTCAGCATGGACACGCGACCCGAAAGAGAGGGGGCCCACGCAAGGCCCTCACGGGGCCCCCAACCGCGCCCCAGGCTGCCCACGCTGCTGCTTTGCCACGTCCTCCGCTCTTTTGTTTCTTCCTCCTGAGGTTATGAGATGACGCGACGATGAGATTCCCTACTTCTTCCTCCCTCCTGTCCTGCGGGGCCTCGGCCCCCAATTTTGTGTGTTGGTCTTCTCTCCCAAGGGAACCCGATCGGGCCTCCCTGAGGGAAGCGGCGGCGTTCGGATAACTCCATTGACGTCAGCGTGACAGCATCCCAGGAGGAGGAGGACGAGCCAGAGGAGGAGGAGGACGAGCAGGAGGAGAAGGAGGAGGAGGACGAGCAGGAGGAGGAAGAGGAGCAGGAACCGTAGTAGTAGTAGTAGTAGTAGAAGTAGAAGTAGTATTAGTAGTAGTAGTACTCGTAGTCGTAGTCATAGTAGTAGCAGTAGTAGTAGTAGTAGTAGCAGTAGTAGTAGTAGTATGTATAGTGATAGTAGTAGTAGTAGTCGTAGTAGTCGTAGCCGCACTAGTAGTAGTCGTAGAAGTCGTAGTAGTAGTAGTAGTAGTAGTAGTAGTAGTAGTAGTAGTAGTAGTAGTAGTAGTAGTAGTAGTAGTAGTAGTAGTAGTAGTAGTAGTAGTAGTAGTAGTAGTAGTAGTAGTAGTAGTAGTAGTAGTAGTAGTAGTAGTAGTAGTAGTAGTAGTAGTAGTAGTAGTAGTAGTAGTAGTAGTAGTAGTAGTAGTAGTAGTAGTAGTAGTAGTAGTAGTAGTAGTAGTAGTAGTAGTAGTAGTAGTACTAGTAGTAGCAGGGGGAAGAGGAGGACGACGACGAAGAGGAAAATGAGGCGAAGGAGGGGGAGGAGGACGAGGAGGAGGACGAAGAGGAGGAGGATGAGGAGGAGCAGGAGGAGGAGGAGGAGGAGGAGCATCGACGATTTGGGGGAGGAACCAAGAAGCACGTGGGAGGAGGGCCAACGTCAGGCCCCGCAGGGCCGCGGGGTCCTGCACCGCCCGCAGCAGGTGCTCCGCGCGCTGCTCTGCGCGGTTCTGCCAGGCGTGGCTCTCGCTGCTCACCTCGCTCATTTTGTTCGTTCGTGCCGCAGAGGAGGGAGCATGGGGAAGCGCAGGGCGGCAGAGGGGGAGGGCGAGGAGGAAGGGGAGGGCGAGGCGGCAGAGAGGAGGAGGAGGAGGAGGAGGAGGAGGAGGAGGAGGAGGAGGAGGAGGAAGAAGAGAAGAGGAGGAGGAGAAGGAAGAGAAGGCGGAAGGACTGCAGAGAGGAGGAGGAGGAGGAGGAGGAAGAGGAGGGAGGAAGGATGGCAAAGAGGTTGAGGAGGAGGCGGAGGAGGAAGGACGGCAAAGAGGAGGAGGAGGAGGAGGAGGAGGAGGAGGAGAAAGGACGGCAACGAGGAGGAAGAGGAGAAGGAAGAGGAGGAAGAGGGGGGGAGGAAGAGGAATGACGGCAGACAGGAGGAAGATGAGGAGAAGGATACTGAGGAGGACGAAGAGATGAGGAAGAGGAGGAGGGAACGTCCCCTGAAGAGTCCTGGCCCCCTGTGCCTCGCGAGAGCGCTGGGCAGCGAGAACACGAAAGCGGGCGGCGGCACGGGCCTCAACGTGAGCGTGACGGGGGGGCGCTGGCCTCCCTCTTCATGGCGTGATGAGTGAAAGCAGGGCAATGGCTCGCCGTCGCTCGGACGTCAAATTCCCCGTGCGTGTTTCGATGTCGTGCGTGTTGGCTCGAGGGTCCGTGGTGCTCCTCGATGGCACTCGCCGACAAGAGGTGCACGCGTCGGAGAGATGCCGAGATGGCGAGAGAGACCGAGCAGCACAACCGAGCGAGTGCTGACCTCCGTGCGACGATTCTCTCTCTCTCCCCCCGCGCCCCCGCCGGACCAGGATCTCTCCCAGGAGCGGCCGCGGAGGGCCCGAGCCACGAGCTCGGGAAAGCGCGAGCGAACGAAATCATGCGGGATGCAGTCTCGGCATTCCGGGCAGCCCCTGAGGCATGCTTTGGGGCCAGAGGCCACATGCAGACGACAGCCGGTGCTCCAGGCCCCGCGGCGAGTCTCAAGAACGCACCATCGGAGGGCCGGCTTTCGTCAGTTCGAAAACGAGCAGGACAGCTTCCACCTGAGAGGGAAAGAAAGAGAGAGAGAGAGAACAATACCAACAACAAAAAACACATAAAGAGAAAGAGAGAGAGAGAGAGAGAGAAAGTGATAGAGAGAGAGAGAGAGGAAGAGGGTTTCGCAGGAATGCTTCAATCGGGAAGCCATGTTCTCAACCTCCGACGTAAGGTGTCGTGAGAATCCCACCAGCCCTTTGGGCGACAGGTGGTCTAAGGGTGATCTCTTTTTTCTTCTATAACCCCTCTTCCCCTCTTCCCTTCAAGGAGGGGAACCCTCCCCCTCCCCTCCCTGTTTTTTTTTGGGGGAGGGGACCGATGTGTCAGAGGGTCCTTTTTCGGCCAATAGGAGGGCCAATTTTTGACACCCCTCACGAGGGTAATTAATGGCCCCCGAGGGGGGAGCAGACATCGAGGACTCCCCCCCTCTTTTGACCGACCGCCTTCGAAATGGCACTGAAAGGCCCTTCAGGGCTTCCAAGAGGCCCCTAGGAGAGCTCCAAGAGCGCCCCAAAAAGCTCCAAGAGGCCTCCAAAAGGCACCCGAGAAGCACCCAAGAGGCCCCCGAGCGGCCTCAGAGAACCCAAGATGACCTCCAAGATGGCTCAAGATATCCGAAGCTGGCTCAAGGTGGTTCCCATGATGCTCCAAGGGGCCCCAAGGCCGCTCCAAGACTGCTCGAAATGGCCATGGGGCCTCCCCAGGAGGCCGCCAAGAAACCCAAATCCTTTGTGTTCAAAGCGATAGAGCTCCAATAAGTCGGCCCCCCAAGAGGCCACATAAACTCACCGGAGGCACGCAAGACGCCGTCCTCGTCCTCGTCCTCCTCGTCCTCCTCGTCCTCGTCCCCCTCCTCGTCCTCATCCTCGTCGACCTCCTCGACCTTGTCCTCCTCCTCCTCCTCCTCCTCCTCCTCCTCCTCCTCCTCCTCCTCCTCCTCCTCTTCCTCCTGTTTCTCATCCTCCTCCTCGTCCTCCTCTTCGTCCTGTCGTTCTCGTCCATATCCTTTGTCCCCTTCCCCTCCTCCTCTCCTCCTCCTCCTTCCTCCTCCCCCCCCCCCTCCCCTCGTCCTCCTCCTCCTCTCCTCCTCCTCCTCCTCCTCCCTCCTCTCCCCTTCCTCCTCCTCCTCCTTTTTCTCATTTTTTTTTTCCTCCTCTTCCCTTCTCCTTCTCCTGCTCGTGCCCTTCCTCCTCCTCCCCTCTCCTCCTCCTCCTCCTCCTCCTCCTCCTCCTCCTCCTCCTCCTCCTCCTCCCCTCACTCTCTCAATCCTCGTCCTCCTCATCCTCGTCCTCCTTCTCTTCCTGCTCCCTTCTCCTCCTGCTCCTCCTTCTCCTCCTCCTCTTCCCCCCCCCCCCTTGCGCGGGAGGAGATGGCCCCAACGCGCCGTCCAGGCTGGCCCCCCTCGCTGTTTGACTGCGCGTGTCTCTTCCCCTCTCCCCCCGTCAGCTCGCATGGGCATCGTTTCTGGATGGATTGGCGGGGGTACTTTTGATCGCGACCGCGTCGAAAGAAGTCGGGCGGCGTCCAGGAGCGTAGCAGACGAGCAACGAGGCTGGTGCGGATAATTTTTGTTCGCAAGCGTGCCGGGATGCCGGGCGCCGTCAAGAAACGCGGCTGACTAGCAACGAACTAATTCCGCGGCAGGAGGGGGAAGGAAAACAAGTGGATCACGAGGCGAAGAAAAAACACACACAGGAAGCGAGTTACGCTGCGGCTCAGGAGACGCGATAGACCAGGAAGAACAACCAGCCGAGGTGCAACACCAAAGCGGCGGAATTCATGTTGTTCACAAGCTCGAGGAAGGCGACCACCGACATGGCCTAGCACCGAGAAAAACGCCCCGATGCAGATGACGGCCGTGACGCAACCGATGAGGACGTCGAACAACGACCTGCAAGCGCTCAGCGGAGCAGGGTTCGGATCGCCAAACACCGACAAGTCAGGTGTCGGAGCAAGGGACGTGGAAGCGACGGCAGCGCCACCACGGGCGGGGGGACAGGGGGAAGGCAGCGACAGGGCGGCCCAGGGGTAAGCTGGTGCGAGGAATCGGTGAGAGGAAGCCAAGCTCCGGCAAAAGTGTCGGCGAGAGCCGACGCCAGGGGACATGAGCAGACACTGGGGAAGGCGACGTGGGAGAGGACCGGGTGTCCGTCTACCCTGGGCGGTCGGGGTCCCACCGGGAGGAAAGCCCCCAGGGGGGAAGTACTACCCCGATCGCTACGGGCCGAGGGGGTTCCCTGCGGCCTCGCACGCTGAGGCAGTGCCGCCGCGACGCCGGCCGCGGTGCCGCCAGCCGCCGTCGCCGCCGAAGGGGAGCCAGCGGCGGCGGCAGCAGCGGTGCCGACGGCGGCGGCGGCGGCAGCGGCGGCGGCCGCGGCGAGGAGCGGCGCGACGGCGAGGGAAGCGGCACGCGCAGCGCCAGCCGCGGCCGCGGCGCTATGGCGCGGGCGGCGCAGGCGGAGCCCACCACGACGGGGGTGCCGAAGACTCATCCAACGGCCCCAAGATGGCGTCCAAGTGCGCTGAAAATGGTCCAAGATGGTCTCCAAGACGGCCCAAGAGGGTCCAAGATGCGTCTGAGTCCGCCCAGGAAATCTCCACGACGGCCCCAGGCGACCCAAGAGGCCCCAAGGAGGCCTCCAAAACGGCCCCAAAGGCCTCCAAGAGGTTTCCAGGAAAGCCCGAACGGGTCCAAGGCATTGGTTTTCCAGCACGGTTTCTCGAGGATCTGGGTCTTGCTTCCTCTCGGCCTTCCGACAGCTCAACACGGCGCACGCGGCCCCCCCCAAAATGACCTCAAGGTCGCCCAAGAGAGGAGGAGCAGGAGGAGGAGGAGGCCGAAAGCGGCCTCTGCTCGTGGACCTCCAGCATCCCCCGAGGGGGGCCGCCCGAGGGGGAGGGTGGGCCGCCCGAGGGGGGGGGGGCCGCTGGCCTCGGCCAACTGCCTCTCGACGCCCGCCGCCTGGCCGCGCTCCTGGCGCAGCGCCTGCTGCAGCCGGGCCACGTCCTCTGCGGCAGGAGCGCCGTGCGCTGGCCACGCCAGAGGGGCCTCCCAGATGGGGCCCGAGTGCCCAGACCCCCTCGAGGCATGAAAAATTCACGGCGGGAGGTTTTTCGCTATTTTTGGGCCTCCGGGGGCCCTCGCCGGGCCTCGGGAGCGTCAAAAACAACGATTCAGGATGAAGAGCCAGTCCTGGGGAATGGGTCGAGCTCTCCAGGGCCGACGTTGTGACACAAATCATGACGTCGGGTGTCGGAGTACTCGGAGTACCCTGACCTTCCAGGAGGGCTTAAAACTATAGAGCGCCAGGGCCTCGACATCCAAAAATGCCGGTCGAGGTTTTATTAGGCGGCCCCGACAGGCCTCTAGGTCTGGAGTGTTACGTTTTAGCACTCTGGAAGGTCAGGGCAGGTGGGGTCGGAGGATCGCGCCGCGTCGCCGCTGTATCGGCGAAATCGGCTCTACATCGAGCCGCATCGGCGATTCATCGGCGATGCGGCACGATCCTTCGACACCATCTGCTCGGACCCCCTCTGGAAGGCCTAGAGCCGTGCGCCGTCCGTTGCCAAGTTCTTCCCTCGGAGGTTCAAGGACCACTGGCTCTTTTGGACGTGCTCGGCACGTTCGGAGCGTTTTTCCAGGGCTTCCCAAATCTCAGAGAAGGAAAAGGTACCGATGCCGATATCCTTGCTTCGTTTTCGACTTGTTGGGCCTCCTGCGAGGCCCTAGTCGCCACCGCTGGATTTGCCATGAAATTCTGGTCACAACGCACCAGGGAGAAGTCCGGGGAGTAGCGGTATGGGTGCTTTTCTGTTTCCTTCAATCCAGGAGGGACTTTAACCAGGACTTTGAGAAGGACCTTGAGAATGCCACTTGGACCTTTGACCAGGACCTTTCTGTTTCTCTCTATGCTGACCAAGACTTTGGGGATTCCACCTGGAGGGAAGGAATGATGGAAAAACGTTTCGGCCAATGGCTGCAGTTTTCTCGGGCGCACCAGTGGCATGGTTTATCGAAGCCCCCGTTGAGGCCACCTGATTGTTGGCCCTCTCCAAGCCACCGGAAGCCTTCGGGGGCCTCGCGGGGACTTCGGGGGCCAGGGCCTGGGGCGGACGCACCACGTGCTCGTCGTCGTCGTCGTCGACGTCTTCGTCGTGGTCGTGGTCGTCGTGGACCTCTAGCGGCCCTCTGCTGCCTTCGGCGGTCGGGGCTGCGGCGCTGAGGCTCCCGTCGCCGCCGTCGTCGTCCGTCGGTCGTCGTCGTCGTCGTCCGTCGGTCGTCGTAGTTGTCGTCGTCGCCGTCGTCGTCGTCGTCGTCGTCGTCGTCGTCGTCATCGTCGTCGTAGTCGTCGTCGTCGTCGTCGTCGTCGTCGTCGTCGTCGTCGCCGCGGTCATCGCGGTCGTGGTCGTCGTCGCCCAAATTCGAGGTGCGAGAATCTGAAATTTGGAAACCTGAACTTTTGGAAGTCTGGGCAGTTTTCGGGCGCGCTGGGTCTCGTCGCCGATGTCACCGCCGTCGTCGTCGTCGTCGTCGTCGTCGTCGTCGTCGTCGTCGTCGTCGTCGTCGTCACCGACGTCGTCGTCGGCGTCCACCGGTCGTCGTCGTCGTCCGTCGGTCGTCGTCGGTCGTCGCCGTCGTCGTCGTCGTCGTGGTCGTCGCGGTCGTCGTCGTCGTCGTCGATGCCGCGGTCGTCGCGGTCGTGGTCGTCGTCGCCCAACTTCGAGGCGCGTGGATCTTTTGGAAACTTGGAGAGGTTTCGGGCGCGCAGGGTGTCGTCGTCGATGTCACCGCCGTCATCGTCGTCGTCGTCGTCGTCGTCGTCGCCGCGGTCGTCGTCGTCGGCGGCGTCGTCGTCGTCGTCGTCGTCGTCGCCGTCGTCCGTCGGTCGCCGTCGTCGTCGTCGTCGTCGTCGCCGTCGCCGTGGTCGTCGTGGTCGTCATGGTCGTCTTGGTCGTCGTCGCCGCGGTCGTCGCGGTCGTGGTCGCGGTCGATCAAATTCAAGGTGCGAGGATCTTAATTTTTGGAACCTGAACTTTTGGAAGTCTGGGCAGTTTTCGGGCGCGCTGGGTGTCGTTGTCGTCGTCGTCGTCGTCGTCGTCACCGTCGCTGTCGCCGTAGTCGCTGTTGTCGTCGTCGTCGTCGTCGTCGTCGTCGTCCGTCGGTCGTCGTCGTCCGTCGGTCGTCGTCGTGGTCGTCGTCGTCGTCGTTGTCCTTGTCGTCGTCGTCGCCGCGGTCGTGGTCGTCGTCGCCCACATCCGAGGTGCGAGGGCCTTAACTTTTGGAACCTGGACTTTTGGGAGCCTGGGCAGTGATCGGGCGCGCTGGGTGTCGTCGTCGATGTCGCCGCTGTCGTCGTCGTCGTCGTGGTCGTCGTCCGTCGGTCGTCGTCGTCATCCGTCGGTCGTCGTCGTCGTCGTCTGTGTCGTCGTCGTGGTAGTCGTCGTCGTGGTCGTCGCGGTCGTGGTCGTCGTCGCCCAAATTCGAGGTGCGAGGATCTTAATTTTTGGCACCTGAACTTTTGGAAGTCTGGGCTCTGGGCAGTTTTCGAGCGCGCTGGGTGTTGTCGTCGATATCACCGCCGTCGTCGTCGTCGTCGTTTTCGTCGTCGTCGTCGTCTTCTTCGTCGTCACCGTCGTCGTCGTCGTCGTCGTCGTCGTCGATGTCGTCGTCGTCATCGTCGTCTTCGTCGAAGTCGTCGTCGTCCGTCGGTCGTCGTCGTCGTCCGTCGGTCGTCGTCGTAGTCGTGGTCGTCGTGGTCGTCGTCGTCGCCGCGGTCGTCACGGTCGTGGTCGTCGTCGCCCGAATTCGAGGTGCGAGGATCTGAAATTTGGGAACCTGAACTTTTGGATGTCTGGGCAGTTTTCGGGCGCGCTGGGTCTCGTCGCCGATGTCACCGCCGTCGTCGTCGTCGTCGTCGTCGTCGTCGTCGTCGTCGTCGTCGTCGTCGTCGTCATCGTCGTCGTCGTGGTCGTCGTCGTCGTCGGTCGTCGGTCGTCAGCGTCGTCGTCGTCGTCCGTCGCTCGTCGTCGTCGTCCGTCGGTCGTCGTCGGTCGTCGTGGTCGTCGCCACGGTCGTCTGGGCAGTCTTCGGGCGCGCTGGGTGTCGCCGTTGATGTCACCGCCGTCGTCGTCGTCGTCGTCGTCACCGTCACCGTCGTCGTCGTCGTCGTCGCCGTCGTCGCCGCGGTCGTGGTTGTCGTCGCCCGAATTCGAGGTGCGAGGATCATAATTTTTGGAACCTGAACTTTTAGAAGTCTGGGCAGTTTTCGGGCGCGCTGGGTGTCGTCGTCGATGTCACCGCCGTCGTCGTCGTTGTCGTCGTCGTCACCGTCGCTGTCGCCGTCGCCGTCGTCGCTGTTGTCGTCGTCGTCGTCGTCATCGCTGTCGTCGTCGACGTCGTCGTCCGTCGGTAGTCGTCGTCGTCGTCGTCGTCGTCGTCGTCGTCGTCGTCGCCCTTGTTGTCGTTTTTGTCGTCGTCGCCGCGGTCGTCGCGGTCGTGGTCGTGGTCGCCCACATTCGAGGTGCGAGGGCCCTGATGTTTGGAACCTGAACTTGTGGAAGGCTGGGCAGTTTTCGGGCGCGCTGGGTGTCGTCGTCGATGCCACCGTCGTCGTCGTCGTCTGTGTCGTCGTCGTCGTCGTCGTCACAGTCGTCGTCGTCGTCGTCGTCGTCGTCGTCGTCGTCGTCGTCGTCGCCGTGGTCGTCGCCACGGTCGCCGCGGCCGTGGTCGTGGTCGCCCAAATTCGAGGTTCGAGGATCTTAATTTTTGGAACCTGAACTTGTGGAAGTCTGGGCAGTTTTCGGGCGCGCTGGGTGTCGTCGTCGATGTCGCCGCCGCCGTCGTCGTCGTCGTCGTCGTCGTCTCCGTCGTCGTCATCGTCGTCGTCGTCGTGGCTGCCGTCTTCGTCGTCGTCGTCGTCGTCGTCAGTCGTCTTCGTCGCCGCGGTCGTCGCGGTCATGGCCGTCGTCGCCCAAATTCGAGGTGCGAGGACCTGAATGTTTGAAACCTGAACTTTGAAAGTCTGGGCAGTATTCGGGCGCGCTGGGTGTCGTCGTCGATGTCACCGCCGTCGTCGCCGTCGTCGTCGCCATCGTCACCGTCGTGGTCGTCGTCGTCGTCGTCGTCGTCGTGATCGTCATGATCGTCGTCGTCGCCGTGGTCGTCGCGGTCGTGGTCGTCGTCGGGCAAATTCGAGGTGCGAGGATCTTAAGTTTTGGAACCTGGGCTTTTGGACATCCTGGCAGTTTTCGGGCGTGCTGGTTGTCGCCGTCGATGTCACCGCCGTCGTCGTAGTCGTCGCCGTCGTCGTCGTCGTCGTCGTCGTCAACGTCGTCGTCGTCGTCGTCGTCCGTCGGTCGTTGTCGTCGTCCGTCGTTCGTCGTCGTCGTCGTCGTCGTCGTCGTCGTCAACGTCGTCGTCGTCGTCGTCGTCGTCGTCGTCCGTCGGTCGTTGTCGTCGTCCGTCGTCGTCGTCGTTGTCGTCGTCGTCGTCGTCGTCGTAGTCGTCGTCGTCGTCGTCATCGTCGTCCGTCGTCATCGCCGTCGTCGCCGCAGTCGTCGTGGTCGTCGTCGTCGTCGTCGTCGCCGCGGTCGTTGCGGTCGTGGTCGTCGTCGCCCAAATTCGAAGTGCGAGGATCTTAATTTTTGGAACCTGAACCTTTGGAAGTCTGGGCAGTTTTCGGGCGTGCTGGTTGTCGTCGTCGAGTCGCCGCCGCCGTCGTCGTCGTCGTCGTCGTCGTCGGCGTCGTCGTCGTCGTGCGTCGGTCGTCGTCGTCGTCGTCGTCGTCGTCGTCGTCGTTGCAGCGGTCGTTGCGGTCGTGTTCGTCGTCGCCCAAATTCGAGGTGCGAGGATCTGAATTTTGAGAACCTGAACTTGTGGAAGTCTGGGCAGTTTTCAGGCGCGCTGGGTCTCGTCGCCGATGTCACCGCCGTCGTCGTCGCCATCGTCGTCGTCGTCGTCGTCTGTGGGTCGTCGTTGTCGTGCGTCGGTCGTCGTCGTCGTCGTCG